AATAGTAATAATAATAATAATAATAGTAATAATAATAATAACAACAACAACAACAACAACAACAACAACCACAACCACAACAACAACACCAACGACAACATCAACAACAGCAACCGCAACAACAACAGCAACAGCAACAGCAGCAGCAGCAACTACAACAACATCAACAACAAAACACAACACCGAACAATGCACGGGAGATCGGGCGTCCGAGCGACGACAAGCCCCTCCTCGCCGCCGCCGCCGTCCCCTGCCTTTTGGGATACGCCTGTGTGGCCACACGCTTGGGCTGACGTCTGGCCATGCTCTTGGACCAGGTGTCCCCCAGCCGTGATGGACCCCCCTGGGGGGAACACCTGGGATAGGAAGGAGAGAGGAGGGGGGAGGAGGAGGAGGAGGAGTAGGAGGAGGAGGAGGAGGAGGAGGAGGAAAAGAAGGAGGGGCAGGAGGAGGAGGAGGGCGGAGGAGGAGAAGGAGGAGGAGGAGGAGGAGGGCGGAGGATGATGATGATGATGATGATGATGATGATGATGATGATGATGATGATGATGATGATGATGATGATGATGATGATGATGATGATGATGATGATGATGATGATGATGATGAGGAGGAGGAGGAGGAGGAGGAGGAGGAGGAGGAGGACGAGGAGGAGGAGGAGGAGGAGGAGGAGGAGGAAGAGGAGGAGGAAGAGGAGGAGGAGGAGGAGGAGAAGAGAGAGAGAGAGAGAGAGAGAGAGAGCGAGAGCGAGGGGAGGACGAAGAGCCCCCGCAGTCGTCTTGGCCACCGGGCGGCGCCCGTCGCGCCGCGAGGCCCCGCCCAGCCGCGCTGGGCCCCCCCGACGCGCCCGTGGGGGGCCATGGCCGCGGACCGCTCGAGCGCGCCGTCGCGGCAGGAGCGGCAGGCGGACTACGGCCAGCGGTGGGGCGAGGGCGCGGCTCGCTGCTTCCGCATCGAGGGCAACTTCCTCGACGAGGAGACCCCGCGAGGGCTGCTTTTTTGTTCTCCTACAGTCCCAGACACGCTCGCGCTGCGAAAAAGGCAGGACGACAAGTTGTTCGCTAGTTTCGGCCTCAGGGAGCCCTTGCCGGGCCTCGGGACCGTCAAAAAACGATTCAGGATGAAAAACCGGTCCCAGAGAAAGGGTCCAGACGTTGTGAAAGAATCACGACGTCGGGGATTCGGGGTGGGGGCGCGCATCTAGACGTCAATTGTTGGCGCTCCGCGCGGGTTTCTTGGATCCGCGCTGGGCCCCCTGGGGGCGCCTCCGGCGCCGCCCCTGACGCGCTCCGCGCACCAGGAAGGGAGAGCTGGCGCGGATCCAAGAAATCCGCGCGGAGCGCCAAAAGCTTATGTTTATGTCGTTTGCTCTTTTTCTAGGGTTGCTGTTGTTCCTGTAGTGGAAGCCCATGCCAAGAAGCACCCAGCCTGGAGGTCCCCAGAGGGGCCGAGCGGGACGCCGCCGCACGCCCAGCCTGGAGGTCCCAACCGCACATGGAGTGGGGGGCCCGACCGCACATGACCACCAACTGTTTTTTGGGGGTCGCGTAGGGTACCCACGGTCGGACCTCTGGACACCGACCGCGAGAGGCAGAGGCTTACACCTAAAGCGGTCCGATCTCACTGTCGAGGCAAGGCAGTCCCGTGGCGTTCATGCTTAGCCTGGAGGTCCCCACGGAGCTCTCGTGGCGAGACCTCCCAGAGGCCCCCCCCAGGAGGCCCACACGGGCCTGGGCATGTCCCGAGGCCTCTGCTCCCCACCCCCGCCCTCCCTGAAGGGTTTCTCCGAAGGGCTTAGGCGACCCGTCCTCCTCCTCCTCCTCCTCCTCCTCCTCCTCCTCCTCCTCCTCCTCCTCCTCCTCCTCCTCCTCCTCCTGGTCCTCCTCCTCCTCCTCCTCCTCCTCCTCCTCCTCCTCCTCCTCCTCCTCCTCCTGGTCCTCCTCCTCCTCCTCCTCCTCTTCCTGCTCCTCCCGGGTCGCCTACGACCCAGGGGGAAACCGTACAGCCCTCCCTTCAGGGGCAACGTATTGTGGAAACCCATACCAAGAAACGACCTGCTTGCCTCCAGGGTGGCCTGGGTCTCTTGGTTTCGATGGTTTTGCGATGGGAAGCGTGACGTCCCCACCCCAAAAGTCCATGGACGCCCTGGGGCGGAAGGCTTCTAGTGGTCGAGGGCTGTTTTTGTTCCTGCAGTGGGGGCGCGAATCAAGACACCATACCTATACGACCACCCTTCGGGTGATAAGGAGGTTCGGGGGGGGAGGAACCAACGTCTCACTCGATCGGTCTCACTATCGATCCCACTATCGGTCTCGATCGATCGATCTCTCGATCTCACAATCGATCTCACTCGATCTATTTCATTCGAGCGATCGTTCTGACTATCGATAACACTATCGATCTCGCTATCGATATCACAATCGATTTCACATTCGGTCTCACTATCGATCTCACTATCGATACCACAATCGATCTCACAATCAACGTCATCATCATCATCATCAACAACAACATCATCGTCACCAACGGCATCAACATCATCATCACCATCGGGACGCCATCATCATAACCTCATCACCATCATCATCAACATCATCATCACCATCATCGGGACACCATCCTCGTCACCATCATCATCAACATCATCATCATCGGGACACCATCATCATCATCGGAGCACCACCATCATCATCATCGTCTCAGCATCATCATGAACAGCATCAACATCATCATCATCATCGGGACACCATCATCAGCAACATCATCATCATCATCATCATCATCATCATCATCATCATCATCGGGACACCATCATCATCGTCACCATCATCATCACCATCACCATCCTCATCGGGACACCATCATCATCAACATCAGCATCATCATCATCGTCAAAATCATCAGCATCACCTCATCATTATCCTCATCACCAATATCATCATCATCGGGACACCACCATCGTCATCATCATCATCATCATCGGGACACCATCATCATCACTACCATCATTAACAACAGCATCATCATCAACCTCATCCTCATCATCATCATCGGGAAACCACCATCATCATCATCATCATCTCATCATCATCTCATCATCATCAACATCATCAGGACCATCAACACCATTATCATCGGGGCACCATCATCACCATCATCAGCAACATCATCATCATCAACATCATCATCGGGACACCATCATCATCACCACCATCACCATCATCATCATCATCATCAACATCGTCAACATCATCATCATCATCATCATCATCATCATCATCATCATCATCATCATCATCATCATCGGGACACCATCATCATCACCACCATCACCATCATCATCATCATCATCAATATCATCGACATTATCATCATCGTCATCATCCTCATTATCGTCATCAGCATCAGCATCATCATCATCATCATCATCATCATCATCATCATCATCATCATCATCATCATCATCATCATCATCATCATCATCATCATCATCATCATCGGGACACCGGCGGGACACCGGCGGGACACCGCGGGCCACCGGCCCCCGGAAAGGAATCATTTGGTCCGGCCGTGCCTCAGCCGGAGGCGGGACAACGGCGGGACACCGCGGGCCATCGGCCCACGGAAAGGAATCATTTGGTCCGGCCGCGCCTCAGCCGGAGGAGACTTTCTTCTCGCCCGCCCACGCAGCTTCGCCTCGCCCGCACGCACGGCACGCACGAACACGAAACCGAAACCGATTTCCCGGTAGGGGGGCCCTCCGTTCCACTTCGATCTCACCCCCTCACCTCCGATGCTTTTCGTCAGGGTCTCCTTCTGGGCCTCCCAGATGGGGTCGGAGTAGATGGGGTCGGAGGATCGTGCCGCATCGCCGATGCATCGGCGATGCGACTCGATGTGGAGCTCAATTTGCTTCACGTCGACGTCGCCGATGCATCGCCCACGTCGACGATGCATCGCCGGTGCATCGCCGATGCCTCGCCGATACGTCACCGATGCATCGTCGATGTGTCGGCGATGCGGCGCGATCCTCCGACCCCATCTACTCGGACACCATCTGGAAGGCCTCGATCGAGGGCTGATTGTTCGTACAGTGGGAGCGCGCATCAAGAAACCATATGAGTTTCGTCAGGGCATCATGAGTTTCTTCGCTCCGCGCGCTGCGCGGTGACTTCCCGCAGCCGTTGAAGAAGCAGCTGCGTTCAGAGTGCTCTGGGTTTCCCCTCAGGTGCACCTCGCGCACGGGTTTTCAGGGTTGGGTTTCGCGCGAGGGTTTCTTGCAGCCGCGCCCGCACTGTACCGCTTCGGAAAGTTCGCACAGATCTTCAAGCGTTTGCGTTGGTTCCCGGAGGTTTTCCAGCCCCGCGAGGCGCTTTTCAGCGGCTGCGCCCCGTCGAGAGCGCGCCAGGGGCCGCCCGGATGTCGCCCCGAGCGGCCTCCAGGGCCCCAGAGTTCCCACGTTTTGATGCCGTCGATCCCGGCGACGTTCCCCGATGTCGGCCTGCGGGCCCGTTGTCGGGCCCCATGGACCATGAAGCACTGGCTGGGGAGGAAGAACCAACCCCGGGGAAGGGAGTCCAGGGCTGGGGTTGAGTCGGGCCTGTCCCTCTACAGGAGGGACAGCCAAGAAGAGTCAGAAAGTAGTCGGGGGTTGATTGTTTGAGTATTTTTGGGCCTTTGGGGAGCATTTTTGGGGATATTTTTGATTTTTCCCCCCAAATCCCCCTGTAGGGGGACAGGCCCGACCTAAGACTGGGGCCGCGGCTTGGAGCAAAACATCCCACCGGCGGAGGTCAGGGCCCCCCTGGCGCATGCCAGGGCCCCCCCACCGGGCCCCGTGGGGATCGCGAGAAGAGCACGGCCCGCGGCCCTGCCTCGTGCCTCGGGCCTCGGGCCCCTCGCGGCTCGGGCCAGCCACTGGCAGCGGACATCCCGAGGAGGGGAACGTCCGGCTCATGCCCGTGCCGGAGAGCTTCTTCTGCCCGATCTCTGCAGCGATCATGGTGGACCCCGTCGCCGCCGTGGACGGGTGCGCGTACGAGCGCGACTACATAGAGAGGTGGTAAAACAGGGCTAGGATCGGGATAAATCGCTCCAGAGCGTTCCGGAGCGCTCTCAGAGCTTTCCGGAACGCTCTGGAGCGGCCGCGGCGCCCAATACATCCTCCAAACCCGCCGATTCTCAGAGATTTCGAGTTATCCCGATCCGATTCTGTCCCGATCTTCGCGTCGTTTTAGGTGGTTCCGGGAGCGGCGCCAGGTCCACCAGACCATCACGTCTCCCGCCACGGGCCTGGAGCTGCCGTCCACCACCCTCATGCCCCTGGTGGCGCTGCAGCGCGCCATTGAGGCCTACCTCGCCCACCGGCCCGAGCTCCGGCGCGACCACCTCGCGGGCAGGTCCTTCGAGGAGGCCGCGCAGGTCCTGCAGTCCGACCTGCTCGAGAAGCAGGCCGTGAACGCGACCGTGCACGACGAGCTGCGGCATCTGCGGGAGGCCAACAAGGCGTTGCGCATGCAGCTGCGCCGCGCTGAGGCGACGTGCTCCGGACTGGCGGAGGAGCTCAGCCGGCTGCGTTCTGGGGCGCGCTCGTCGTCGGAGGACGAGAAGGCGGCGGCGGAGGCCAGCTCTAGCGGCCCCGGGGGCCGTGGCGGCAGTGCCGCCAGCAGCGCTGCACGGAGTCAAAGCCAATCCGAGAGTGAGTTAGGCGCGGCCAACGAGGCCAAGTGCAGGGCCTCGCTGGAGGCCGCACGGACTGGGGTCAAGCCAGGCGCCTCGCCGCGACGGTGGCTGCGCTCCGCGCTGCTGTATGCGCTGGTGGCTGCCGCCGGAGTGCTCGCTGGTGGCCGCCTGCACGGCGACGCGGGCAGTAGCGGGCGCGACGGCCACGGCCTTGCGGAGCTTCCAGAGGAGCTTGGGCGCTTGCTGGGCAGCCTGCACAACATACAGACCTGGCTGCACTCCGTCGGCCTCGCCTCCGCGGAGCCGGGCGCGCCCAGTCCGCCGCCGCGGCAGCCTGAGCCAGAGGCTGCCGCAGCGCGGCCTCCAGCCAGGAAGGCAGCTGAGCAGGAGAAGGTGCCGTCGGGATCGTCGGGCCTCGACTGCACGAAATCGCAGAAGAACTCGAGCAGGTGCAAGTCCCTGGAGCGCGCGTCCCAGAGGCCAGGCGTGGACAGCGGGCCTGTCTCCGTGCCGCAGCAGATCGAACTGCTGCGAGCGGGCAGCCCCGAGGAGAGGCACCACGCCGTGCTCTCGCTGCTGGACCAGCCCGCGCCCGACCTCGCGGAGGCTACGGTTCCGCTGGTCGGGCTGCTGGACGACGACAGCCGCGAGACGCAGCAGGTCGCGGCGGTGGCGCTGGGGGCCCTGGCCGCCGAGAGCGCCGCGAACCAGGCCGCCATCGTGCGCGCGGGCGCCGTGGCGCCGCTGGTGCGGCTCCTCAAGGGCGGCCACGCCCAGATCATGGCGGCCAACGCCCTCCGCAACCTCGCCGCCAACAACGACAAGAACCAGGTCGCCATCGCCCGCGCGGGGGCCGTGGCCCCGCTGGTGAGGCTGCTGCGGGACAGCGGGCCGGGCATCCAGGCAGAGGCGGCGGCCGCTCTGGGCAACCTGGCCGGAGAGACGTCCCCGAATCACCACGAGAAGCAGCTGGCCATCGCAAGGGCCGGCGCCGTCGCCCCGCTGGTGAGGCTGCTGGAGGCAGAGGCCGCGCTGAACCGCGAGCTCGCGGCAGGGGCGCTGCGGATGCTGGCCACCAACAACGCCGACAACCAGGTCAAGATCGCGCAGGCTGGCGCGATCAGGCCCCTCGTGCTCCTGCTGCAGGATTGAGGGAGCGAAGAAGCACGCATACCACTGCTGCCTGGACCTATCCTGGGGTGCATTCTGACCAGAACTTCAACGAGAATCCAGCCGTGGTGACGAGGGTCTCGAGGACGAGCAGTGGGAATTATCGGTATCGCTTCCTCCTCTGAAGGATGAAGCCGCCACCGTCCGCCTCGAGGCCGCAGCCGCGCTGGGGAACCTGGCGTTCTACAACACGGAGCTGGAGGGAAACAAAACGGTGACGATGACCAAGGTTGAACGAGGAAACGTCGGTGCCGTTCTCGGTCACCGTCCATCTTGGTCACCGTCGATTCGTGGATCCCGCTCGCGAATCGGCAACAGCCGGCATAGACCATAACCAAGAACGGCGTCGACAAAATCTTGCGACATCTTCCGAGGAATAAAACAGCATAAGCATAAGTTGTGGGAGGTCCGCGCGAATTTCTCCACTCGGCGCTGGGCCCCCCTCCCTGGCGCGCTCCGCGCGCCAGGGGGGCGCCGCCAGGGGAAGTCCAGCGCAGAACCGAGAAATCCGCGCGGAGCTCTGGAAGTTGATGTTTATACAGATGCTGTCGTCCTTCTTCTGGGTCATATCGTCATGACGTGTGCGTGTGTGTGCCCATGCGTATTCCGTTAAGACTCACGTCCGCACTTTTGCACAGTTGTTCTTCATGCGCGAGCATGTCGTCTCGTTTGTGTGTTCCCCTCTTCTTATGGTCATGTGTATCAGCGCGCGGGAGCCGGACGGTCATTGTTTGTCCTTGGGTACGTGGCTGAAGTCAGATTCCGCGGCGCGGATTATGTTTGGTTGTTGTTTGTTGTTATGTGATGCAATGTATTGTGTTTTGTTTTCGTCGTCGTCGTTATCGCTGTTGCTGTTGAATTCTCATTTCTAAAGAATAATCATTGTTGATCCTACCCCTCCGGTAACAGTTTCAATTGTTCCATTCAAGTGATTATCCCGGGACTCGCACCCTGTTTTTATTTACAAGGGGAAGTGAGGGATCACCAAATTGGGTTGTTTTCCCCAGTACAAAACAACAACTACAACCGCTTCCGCCTGATGGTTCCCCACAATGTGTATTTCCAAATCGCGTTCTCGCGCGGGACATCCTCGCAACTTATACAGGAATCGCGCACTCGCGTGGCACTTCCTCCCAAAGTATTCAGACGCAGCGTCCTCGACTTTCAGGAATCACGCTTTCGCTCTGTATGCCCTTACGATTTATTTGGGAATCGCGCTATCGCTCGAGACTTCCACGCGATTCATGCAGGACCCACGCGTCAGCAACCCGCCTGCTCGACCTGGCCGCCTTGGCCCGCCTTCCCGACCCGCCCGTCAGGGTCTACCCGCCCGATCTGCCCGTCTGGTTTTGCAACGTGTTTTCTGCTCCTAGCCCCCCTCCTGCTAAACTCCATCGTGCTCCATGCTCCTCCCTCCCTCAGTGTCCCTTCCTTCCATCTGTCCTCTCGTCTCCTGCCTTAGGGGCCTCACGAAATACACGCTGCAGGTAAGAAAGCTAAATACCCCCAAGGGGATACGCTCGAAGACGAAGAGGGCGGGTATCGAGGGTTTGGGATATACTTGTTGAATGGCCCGCGAGCAGAGACGAGCGAACAGTCTTACAATGATTGTTGTTGTTGCTGTTGGTGCTGTTCGTGCTGCTGGTGTTCTTGTTGTTGATGCTGCTGTTGCTGGTGGTGTTGTTGGTGTTGATGGTGTTGTATTTGCTGCTGCTGGTGTTGGTTGTGGTGGTGTTGCTGCTGCTGGTGGTGTTGTTGTGTGTTCGTGTGTTTGTTTGTTTATGGTTTGGGTTGTTTGTTTGTTTGTTTGTGTGGTTGGTTGTTGCTGCTGTTGTTCTTCTTGTTGGTTTTGTTGCTTGATGTTGGTGTTGCTGCTGTTGCTGTTGGTGGTGGTGATGGTGTCGTCCTCGCCCGCGACCCATCCGCGATCCACCCAGGGCCCGCCCCCTCACTCTCATCCGCAATTGCGGGATGCTACATACTCTTGCACGCTGTGCTCGTGTGAACGCCTTGGCCAAGGGCAGCCTGCTCTGTGCATGTGTGCGTCGCTTCCTCGTCGGCGCAGTGTGCAGTGACCCCCCGCCCCGCCCAGGGGGGCAGACGGGGGAGGGTCCAGCCGCGGCGGCGCGAGACCTCCAGGACGCGCAGCGGTGCCGGTACCTCCTCCTCCTCCTCCTCCTCCTCCTCCTGCTCCTCTCCTCCTCCTCCTGCTCCTCCTCCTCCTCCTCCTGCTCCTCCTCCTCCTCCTCCTCCTCCTCCTCCTCCTCCTCCTCCTCCTCCTCCTCCTCCTCCTCTGATCCTCACCCCAGAGGAAGGGGGGAGGAAGGGCGAAGCGCGGGGCAGAAAGCACAGCCTGCAACGTTTCACGCTCAATCCGAAGCGCATGCTTGGTTGGGAGGATATGCATGGCCTCCCGTCTACGTTGTGACTTGCCTCTCTGTCCGATGTCGGGATGGCCCTCTTGAAGGGCAGCGGCGTGTCTTCTTTTGTTGTGCTCTCTCGCTCTGCTCTTCTTGGATCGTCCATCTCCCCTTGCTGGCCAGTGTCGCTCCTCTCGGCGGCGAGCGAGGGGGGGAAGTGAGAAGGAGAAGGCCTGCTCAGAAGGTTCTGAGGAGGAGGAGGAGGAGGAGGAGGAGGAGGAGGAGAAGGAGAAGGAGAAGGAGGAAGAGGAGGAGGAGGAGGAGGAGGAGGAGGAGAAGGAGAAGGAGAAGGAGAAGGAGAGGGAGACCCCGCGCCTTCTGAGAAGCTTCCGGGGCCTTCCCCGAAGACGGAGCCGCTCCTCGCGAGGCACGAGGGCTGCGGAGAAGGCCCGCCGCCCTCCGGGCAGGCCCTCCCCCTCTCGCCTCCCCCCCTCGCTCGCCGCCGAGGCCGGCGCCGCCCCTCTGATCCTCGCCCCCGCGGCCCGAGCGCGAGCCCGCGGCCGCCGCGGCACGAAGCGCCGCGGCCGCCCCCGGGGGCGGAGGGCCCCTCGCCCCCTCGTCGTCCGGGGCTGGCCCCGGGGCGCCCGGGACGGCGAGGCCGCGGGGTGCGGCCTCGCGACCCCAGGACGTCTTCGCCTTCGGCCTCCTCCTCCTCCTCCTCCTCCTCCTTCTCCTCCTCCTCCTCCTCCTCCTCCTCCTCCTCCTCCTCCTCGTCCTCGTTCTCGTCCTCCTCCTCCTCCTGGATTGTCCCACTCCCCGGAACACGAGAGCGAAATGGGACCTGGTGCGGGAAACCCTTTGTCGGGCCCCTCCGAGCGTTCGCTGGCCGTACCTCAAGACGATTTCGGGGGGATGGACCACCATGGACCGAATGCACGTTACAGACACTTTATGGAGTTGTGTTTTCGGGTGTTCCCACACCGATTGCATCGCGCACTATATAAAGTGCCCCCGTCTCACCTGCCTCGTTTGTCGTCCTCGAGTTGTCGTCTCGCCGTGCCCCCTCTTCCGTCTAGGGCTTGGGATCCATGTGCAATATCCCGCGTTTGACCTCGCCTGGGAAAGTGCAATTCTAGCAACAGCTCTCAGTTTCTATGTTTACCACGTTGCTAAGGAAATCGCCTCGCATCAAGACGGGCGCCCTCAAACTCTACCGCAGCAGCTAGATGCCCTCAAAGCGGCATTAGCCAAAATGCCACACAATTACTCGATCTTACCCCGTCCGCCCAACGTGGCTAGGCCATACAGTCGGCTCAGGCCGAGGCGTCGAGGTTGAGTCGTTGACGAACTCTGCGGAAGGTACTGGCGCTCCTCCTCCTCCTCCTCCACTCCTCCACTTCTCCTCTTCTCCTCCACTCCTCCTCCTCCTCCTCCTCCTCCTCCTCCTCCTCCTCCTCCTCCTCCTCCTCCTCCTCCTCCTCCTCCTCCTCCTCCTCATCCATCCCTTCTCCTTATAGATAACTTCTCCCTGGCACCCCGAGGCCAGTTTTTTGGGCGGGCCGGGCGTTTCGCCAGAGACTTCCTCACCACTTATGACTGGAGCTAAAGAAGTGACAACGGCTTCACATATGGAGAGCGGGTGGTTTTCAAAATGCGGCTCTTGCCTTAGCGTCGCGCATAGTCGTTTTCAAAATGTTGCAAGAGCTTCACGGATTGAGGGCGGGTGGTTTTCAAAATGTGGTTCTCGCCTTAGCGCCGCGCACATTCCTTTAAGAAATTGGAAGAGTTTCACGGATTGAGGGCGGGTGGTTTTAAATATGTGGCTTTCGCCTTTGCGCCGCGCGCTTTCCTTCTAGAAAATTGCGGATTGAGGGCGGCTCTTTTTCAAAATGTGGTTCTCGCTTTAGCGCCGCGCACATTCGTTCTAAAAATTTGCCAGACTTTTTCGGACTCCCACGATCAACGTACCAAAAATGGTGTTTGGGGAGGATTCAGGATTACTTGCGCAGGACGAAAGATTCTCCTCTTGAGGTGAAAATGGCCATGAGGAGTTCGCGAGACAACGTCCGCGCCGCCGAACGGACGGCGACCAGACGAGTTGGTTGCAGCAACCGGGATGAGAGGGATGTATGTAGTCATGTTGAATGGGGCCCGCTTGCGTGGGGAGTTGATGGGAGCGCGCGAGATGACGCAGCGCCCATCGTGGAAAGGTGATTACCGAACCCCCCATCCCCCGTAGAATCTTAACACGGGCGGTTTGCGGGGTCCGCGGATCCGATTTATTCCGGCTCTTTGTTTTAATTTAATAGTGAGAATGAGAATAATCATAATAATAATAATCATCATCATCATCATCATCATCATCATCATCATCATCATCATCATCATCATCATCCTAAGGGTAGAAATCGGATCCGCCGTGAAAAATAAGACCGAATACGGATCCAGCAAATCCGAAATCGGATCCGCGCGGACGGAAATCGAATCCACCGAAACACAAACCAAAACCAGAATTGGATCCGCGCGAACTTCATTGGATCCGACGGCGGGTATCTCACACGCGTCTGCTTAAGACTTCAAACCTTCGCTCCGGGCCCAAGGGGGGAAAATTTTCGTCATAGGGATGCATGCGGGTGCAACAGTTATGTTGATCCGCGGTGTTGAATTCCCCACAAATGACGTTGTGGCACGATTCCGGATCGCCAAAACGCAGCAGTCAGGTTGATGCGTGGCGTTGAAATCCCGAGAACAATGTTTTGGCATGCTCCGGGATCTTCAAGCGGATGTCTTCCAACGAAGCAGTTCCTTCAATGGAAATGAACCGTTGTGGGGGCCTATGAAGGGGGAGCTTGGAGGGAGGATTAATTGCAACATCGTTGATGACTCTTGGGTTTACACTGGTCCTCCTCCTCTCCTCCTCCTCCTCCTCCTCCCCCTCCTCTTCCTCCTCCTCCTCCTCCTCCTCCTCCTCCTCCTCCTCCTCCTCCTCCTCCTCCTCCTCCTCCTCCTAGGGTGGCTGCATGCCGTGGTCCACTTCGCGTAGCCATCTGGACCCCGGCGCATGACGCCCCAAGGCAGCGGGGTGAGACGGCGACCCCAGAAAGTCGTCGTCCTCGGCCTCCTCCTCCTCCTCCTCCAACTCCTCCTCCTCCTTCTCCTCCTCCTCCAACTCCTCCAACTCCTCCTCCTCCTCCAACTCCTCCTCCTCCTCCTCCTCCTCCTCCTCCTCCTCCTCCTCCTCCACCTCCTCCTCCTCCTCCACTACCTCCTCCCCCCGTCCTCCCTCGAGGAGACCAACTTCGGGAACCAGCTGGCCATCGCCGAGGCCGGGGCCGTCGGGCCCCTGGCGCGCCTGCTGCAGGACCCGGCGCCCGGCGTCTGCGAGGCCGCGGCGGGCACGCTGCGGAACCTGGTCGCCCGCAACCCAAAGGTTCGGCGGCGCGCAGGAGGAGGAGGAGGAGGACGACGAGGAGGAGGAGGAAGAGGAGGAGGAGGCGGAGGAGGAGGAGGAAGAGGAGGAGGTCGGAGGAGGAGGAGGAGCAGGAATTTGAGTCCTGGGAAGCGCGCGCAAGAATTCGGGGTGCCCGGACCTCCAAGGCCGGAGGGGGGCGGGCGCTGACGCCGCAGCCAGGCACCGTGCCTCATCCCGCTCAGGGGCGGGGCCGCCCGCTGGTCCGCCCGAGGCGGCGCCAGCAACCGCCGTGGCGGGCGCGGGGGCGCAGAGGAGCAGTGAGGTGTTTGACTTGAGATCGTCGTATGCCGCAGCCTGACGTATGCAGTGGAGACCCATGCCAAGAAACACCCTGCTAGCCTCCAGCGTGCCCAAGGTTTCTTGGGTTTCGATGGTTTGCTGTGGAAAGCGCTACGTTCCCACACCAGAAATCAATGGACGTCCTCGGGTTTCGGGGTTGGGTTTCTTGTGGAAGGTTTCTTGTGGATCGGCCTCCATTGTAGAGGCGCCAGGTGCGCACAGTCGGGCCTAAAACCCCAGCTGCCACAACGTGCGAGCGGCTTTCGCCCCTGACGCGGCCAATCGCCACACCCGGAGGTATTGGTAATGATAGTGAAGGAGGAAGAGGAGGACGATGAGGAGGAGGAGGAGGAGGAGGAAGAATGATCGAGGAAGAGCGGGGTCACATGCCGTACAAAGCTAGGTCGGCACGCAATCGGGTTGGTTGCTCGTCGTGGAGCGAGCAGTAGCTAGGCCTGGGGAAGTACGGCGCCAGTCAAAGAGTGATCTGGCTGTGAATGTCCGTCTTATTAGACGGGCAAGCGAGGTGGAGGAGGAGAGAGGGGGCCATGGCTTGACCTGGCCGCTGAGCGATGACTCTCATCTCGCTTTGCTGGGTGCACGACTGGAGCACGGACAGATTGAGCGTTGGGCGGTTCGCCCTGCTCGTCGGCCGTGAACGTATGCCGTGTGTTGTTCTGCCCGCCCCAGGGCTTTGCCAGCAACACGGGGAACAGATGCGCCCCCGCCGTTCTAGCGCCGGGAAGAGCGTGCGAATGTCCACAGGGGCAATGAGCATTCACCACGTGTCAGCACAAGGCGACGCCAAGTTCGAACTCCGATGACCATAGCAGCAACGCGCCATTTGTATACAATCATGCGGGCCTCTTGGTGGTTTCACCGGGCCGTTAGGGGGCCTCTTGGGGGCCTCTTGGTGACCTCATGGGGGCCTCTTGGGGTCTTTTGGGGGGGCCTCATGGGCGGTCTTGGGGCGCTCTTGCGCTATCTGGCCTCTTCGGAGGCCCCTGGAGCGTCTTGGGGGCCTCTTGGGCCCTCTTGGGACCATCTTGGGCCGTCTTGGGGCCGTCGTGGCCCCCTTGGACCCCCCAAAAGGCCCAAGATGCCAAAAGCATAAGTGTTCTTGACGTTTTGAGGCGCAGAAACGCTTGGTTGGGAGTGGTCGACGGATGTGGCGCGACTCCACGGGGAGCGAGGGGGAGATATAATCATGTAAGACAGTACCAATTGAACGAAGTATGCTATAATCTGGATACATTGGATAACGTTGCAATAAGACGTTCTCCGAAAAACGCTGCCGCTGAGCACGTCACCTCTGGACGTGGATTTCTATGGCTTCGCGGGGTGCACGTCCGGAGCACGTGCAATCCAGTCGTTGTAGGGCCTCTTGGGGACCTGGGAGCCTCTTGGAGGCCTCTTGGGGGCCCCTGGGGACCTCTTTAGGGCCTCTTGGGGCCTCTTGGTGGCCTCTTGGGCGGTCTTGGGGCGCTCTTGCGCCGTCTGGCCTCTCCGGAAGCTGATTTGGGGGCCTCTCGGGGCCGCCTTGGGGCTCTTTTGAGATACTCTGAGGCCGTGTTGGGGGCCACTTGGACCGTCTTGGGTCTTCTTTGAGTCACACAGTGTGGACCGTCTTGGGCCCCTCTTGGGGGGCTCTGGGCCGATTGAGGGGCGAGTTTGGAGGCTGCTTGGGCCATCATGGGCCTCTGGGAGTCGAAACAGGCGAGACCGCTAAAATCTTGAAAATCAATGTGTTTGGCCTCTGTAAGCAGTCTTTGGGGTGTTTTGGGAGCCCGCTTGGGCCGTCTTTGGGGGCCCTCTCGGGTCCATCTTGGATTGTTTTGGGGCCGTCTTGGCCCGTACACTGAGGCCATCTTGAGCCGTGTTGACGCCCTCTCAGACCCCAAGGAGGCCCCAGGGGCGCAAATCTGATATTTGTCTTGAGTTTTTGTGGCTGTTGGGGCCCAGAAGGGGTCCTCCATCTTCGGGTCGACGGATGTGTGGTAGCCCATAACGGGGGGGGTAAGGGGGGGGGGCATAATGATGTAACAGCATTAGAAATGTAGCACTTGTGCAATACTTCCATAAGTTGGATTTGCATGGAGGCGTTCGCCGAAAAAATCTGCCGCTCAGCACGTCCCCTCCAGGCGTGGATTCCTCTCGCTTCGCGCACGTCTGGAGCACGTAAAGTCCAGTTGTTGCGGGGCTTGGTGGGAGCCTCTTTGGGGCCTATTGGAGGCCTGTCCTCTGCGCCAGGGGGCCACCAGCAGCCGTCGTGGGGCCATCTGCGAGGCATCTTGGCCCGTATCGGGTCGCTGGTCAGGGCCGTCGAAGCAGTTTGCCGAAAATGTCAATGCTCCCTTCGGGGACTGGGCGATGTTTAGTTTGTTGGGGCCCTGTGGGGAGTCCTTTAGGAAGCATCTTGGAGCGTTCACGGGGCCTCCAGGGAACCTCCTGGGCCGTTTGCGGCGCTTGGCGGGCCATATTGGGGCCATCTTGGATTGGGTGGAGCCCGTGATGGACCGTCCTGGGGAAGCTTTGAACGGTCTTGAGCCCGTCTCGGGTCCTCTTGGGTTGTCTTGGTCGCTTTGTTGGGTTGTCCCGTGGCCGCGTGGAACCGTCATAGGGCCCTCCTGGAGGCCTCGTGGCCCGTCTCGGGTCGCTGGTCTGGACCGTCGAGGCAGCTTGCCAAAAGTGTAGCGTTCGTCCAGGAGTGGGCCAAGTTTGGCTTGTTGGGGCCTTCGTGCGGGGTCTCTGGAGGCGTCTTCCCGCCTTGACTTGCGATTTTGCAAGGCCCCGCCGGGACTCTGCGGATTCCTTCGCCCTATCTGGCGACGCGCTTAGCGTGGCTTAGCAAGAAGGCCGCACAGGCAAATGCGTCAAAGCATAGATGACGTACGAGTCCTGCGCGCGGGCCAAAGTGCATTTGGCATGCTTGGCACGTGGATGTGTCTGGAACGATGGCCTCGATGCGATGCGCCACGGTCCCTGCCGGGCGTGCTAGTTGAGGGCCTCAAAGCGGCGAAAGTCTGAAGAGCACCATGGACAGACGAATGTGCACGGATGATGGGCGTCCAGGCGGGATTGTTCTGCCAGGTGTTCCAAGTGGTCCGTGGGGCGAGGTCCTCTGGGGGTGAAGCCCCGAAGCTTCGGCGGCGCGTGCACGGGGGCGGGGGGGGGAGGAGTTCCGAGGTTGCCAGGCTTTCGGACGTTTTCGTCGGCGATCGGCCGTTTTCCAGCCTCGGGATCTGTTCCAGCAGCCGCGCCTCGCCGAGGGCGTCCCAGGGGTGCCCGAATCGTCCCGAACGGCCGCCTGAGACCCGAGCTGTGGCCCGAAAGCCGACACGGTACCAATACCGCCATTTGTGTTTCTTGTTTTTCTCGGCGTGTGGGGAGGCCATCTTCGCCATGGCTGGATTCGCCTTGTAACCCTTGTCGGAACGCACCCCAGGAGAGGTACAGGGAGTAGCGCTATCGATAGTTGTTGGTTTCCCCAGGAAGCTATTTGTTGGGGGGTTCTCGCCTCGGGATGCTTTCCAGCAGCTGCGCCTCGCCGAGGGCGTTCTGGGGATGCCAGAATCATCCGAACGGGCGCCTGAGGCTTGATTTACGGCCCGAAAGCCGACATCTTCGCGTCTCGGAAGAATCGCAACGGGTGGAGCGAGGAAGGTTCCTAGAAGGCAGGGGAGAAATTCTGGAGAGCCCCCTTTGCCTTCCCAGAAAGAAGGCCACCTCCTCCTGCTCCTCGTCCTCCTCCTCCTCCTCCTCCTCCTCCTCCTCCTTCCCCTCCTCCACCTCTTGCAGCTTGACCTCAGCCACCCAGAGGTGCCCGGATCATCATCATCATCATCATCATCATCATCATCATCATCATCATCATCATCATCATCATCATCATCATCAGCAGCAGCAGCAGCAGCAGCAGCATCATAATCGGCAGCATCATCACCACCACCACCACCATCAGCATCATCATCATCACCACCAGCCCTTGCCACCCAGCCCTGCCCCGCCTTCTTTGGAATTTGTCCCCATGCGGCTGGTGGCGAAAGTGGCAGAGAATGAAACAGACCTCGAGCGCCACCCAGTCCGCTCCATGGCACAGGATCTTTGTTCGTTCTTTCTGGCCTCCATCTCCCGCCAGTCTCCCCCTGGATTCCCTTGGAAGAGGTTCTGCCAGCGTGTTGGCGTTGGCCCTCGGCAAAGTTTGTACGTGAGATGTCCCTGCCATTTGGCGGCTAGGGGCGTGGTTGCATGCTCGGGTCCATTGCGTGGCGGCGCTGGCGATGTCTCGTGCTGCTGGGTGAGGCCGTGCGTGGGATTATGCCCCCCGCTTTTCTCTTTGGGTCAGACGCACCCGCTTTCAGGGCCCCCCCCGCAGCGGCGGGGGTCTAATTTTGCAGGTTCATGCCAAGCAAGCCTGGGGTATCCAGCATTGTTTGGATTTCCTGGAGGAGGCGCCGTCCTCCCAGAGCGCACGTCTTAGCAGATAGCTTAAAGATTCTTGCTTATATAAAAGAGGAAAGAGAAGACGAAAAAACAAACAAACAAACAAAACTCCTCCTCCTCCTCCTCCTCCTCCTCCTCCTCCTCCTCCTCCTCCTCCTCCTCCTCCTCCTCCTCCTCCTCCTCCTCCCCTGTCCTGCCTCCTCAGTGAGAAGGCCGCTCCCTTGCCCCAACACCCCCTCGTGCTCGACGCCACAGAGGTGCAGGCCGTGGTGGTGAGCTCGGGCGCCCTGGGACCCATCACGTGGCTGCTGCAGCACGGGGGCCTCGAGGCGCAGCTGGAGGCCGCCGGGCTGCTCCGCAACCTGGCGGCCCACGAGGGCGACGGCCAGGCCGCGGTGGCGGACTTCGTCGCGCGCGCGGGCGCCGTGACGCCGCTGCTGGCGCTGCTGGAGGCGGAGGTCCCGGAGCTCCAGGATCGAAGGCGAAAAATGTTGCACAGACCTCGCGAATTGTCGAAGCTGAGCTCCGCGCGGATATTTCTTGGAACGGCGCCGGGCCCCCCCCCCACCCCCCCCTGGCAGCGCCTCCGGCGCCGCCCCTGGCGCGCTCCGCGCGCCAAGAAGGGGGGTCCCGCGCCGATCCAAGAAATCCTCGCAGAACTCCGAAAGTTGATGGTTATGCTAATTTTTCTTGTTCCACAGGAAGAGGCCGCCGCGGCCCTGTGGAGCTTGGCGCGCAGCAACGAGGCCATCCGGGCCGCGGTGTCGCAGGCCGGCGCGATGTTGCTGGAGCCCGCGCGCGAGGGCCAGCCTTGAGGTGGCCCTCGCCCGCCGTTGTTGCGGCAGGTGGTGATGAAGCGGGCGCTGGAGGGAGACGACTCCCTCGCTCCTCCTGCTGCTTTTTCCTCCCTCCAGGCTTCTGTCCTACGACTGTTCCTCGTGCACCCCCTCCTGCGCTTTCCCCTCACATTCGGCCTCTCCCTCCTCCTCCTCCTCCTCCTTCTCCTCCTCCTCCTCCTCCTCCTCCTCCTCCGCCTCCTCCTCCTCCTCTTCCTTCTCTTTCTCCTCCTCGTCTCTCCTCCTCCTCTCCTCCTCCTCCTCAACTCCTCCTCCTTCTCCTCCACTACCTCCTTCTCCTCCTCCTCTCCTCCTCCTCCTCCTCCTCCTCCTCCTCCCCATTATCCTCCTCTTGCAGTTTGACCTTAGCCACCCGAAGGTGTCCGGATCATCATCATCATCATCATCATCATCATCATCAGCAGCAGCAGCAGCATCATCAGCATCATCAGCATCATCATCAGCATCAGCATCATTATCATCATCAGCATCATCATCAGCAGCAGCATTATCAGCCCCCTCCTCCGCCTCCGCCTCCGGCGTGCACGCCGCAAACGACAGCCGGGCCCTCAGGGAGAACCCGCGTGTGATTTGGGATCCAGTAGGGGGCGAACATCAACTTGTGCACATACACATAGCATCCACAACAGCCCGAACCCCGAGACACAAAGCCAATCCTACCACCACAACCGAACAGCACACTTCATGATCTGTGCGTGTCATCTGTGCACAGGGGCCACAAACAAATCTTATTTGACACGCGGGCACAAGTCAAAAAGAAGCACGTATGACTGCGAGGCAGGGAGAGGGGTGGGAAACATAATCAGGCCCCCACACGCCCACACTCCACCTCCACAAAGAAACACGGAATCAAGAGACAGCCCCGGCTGCAAGGGCGTGGGGGCGGATTTCATTTGCCCCACGAGGAGACTGGCGTGCAAGGCGGAGCTATAGAACCGCCAGCCGCCCCCGCGGACGACACTCCGAGGATCGCCGCCGGCTCGATCAAAACAGCCACCCGGAGACACACGACCAAGTGGAGCACATCTACCATGAGAGAGAAGGCATCAAGGACAACGGCAAAAACAAACCTCCCCCCAATGATAATGCGCATTCAAAAATTCGTTGATTCCCCCTCCACGAAATCACCCATCACGTGCGGCATCACTCTGCAACACCACCTTAGTACCCGAGGCCGAAACAAAGTGGCGCCAAGAAGGGTGGCCGCACCAGCGGTGGCGCAAGGCGCCGACTTTGTGCATTTAGAGAAACCGACCCCTCTGGTCCCACCCGAGCACACGACAATGAGGCCAAAAAACATCTTAATGCGTCGCAGGGTGAATCACAAACATATAATGACCCTTGTTTCTGCAAGATCCTTTTGAGTAGCACGAATACGTATAGACACATGCGCACACCGAGTTTTACCCGAGGGAAAACTTCGAGCCCTCTATGGAAACATTCGCTACAGCACATGCTACATGCGGCTCAAAAACCGACGCGCGTTGGCCAAACGAGTCGCAGGTCTGCACCACAGGATCCGCTGCTGGCACCGAGGCCCCAGCCAGAGCCGAAGCCCCCACGGAGGAAAGAGCCGAAGCCCCAACCGCCTCCGCGGCGTGATGATCCAGGGTAGAGTGCGCATTCCCGCCCCCAAGGGATCCTTATGGCACAGAGGATGGCCGACCCGAGCACAATCACGAGGACATAAACACAGCAGCAGCGACCATACCCCTCCAATTCAGCACAGAAGGGGTCACCCCGAATGGGGTATGGGTTAGCCGCGTCTACTTTCCCCATCCCCTCAAACTAAGTAAACACGTCCGAGAGACACAAAACCCAGGCGGGGGAGTGAACCGCGGCGAGAATTGTGAACCCCAGGGGAGGAAGAGGAACGGAGGGGGAAGAAGAGGACGGAGAGGAGGAAACGGGAGCGAGGGAGAGGGGAAGGGCACAGTCCCACCACAGCCTGACCCCCCACACTCTGGGGAGGCACAAGCCAGGGATGAGGAAGACGCGTTTCCGACGAGCGGCCACGAAGAGGTTTGCGCACTTTGTTCGACAGCATCATTATCAACAGCATCACCATCACCACCCTCACCACCATCATCATAATAATCAGCATCATCATCTTCGGTATTATCATCATTATCACTATCATCAGCAGCATCAGCGTGGGCATAATCATTACCAGCAGCATCATCATCATCATCATCATCATCATCATCATCACCAGCAGCAGCATCATCAGCAGCAGCATCCTCATCAGCGAAATCAGCATAGTCATCGTCCTCATCATCATCATCAGCACCAGCATCATCATCGTCGTCGTCATCGTCGTCATCATCAGCAGCAACAACAGCATCATCATCAGCAGCAGCATCATCAGCAGCATCCTCATCATCATCAGCATCATCCGCATCATCATCAGCAACAGCATCACCATTATCGATCAGCATCATCAGCATCAGCAGCATCATCATCATGTTCATCACTGCTGCCATCATAGCCATGATTCTTATCAGTACCAGCATCGTCAGCATCAGCATCGTCATCATCAGCGTCGTCATCATCATAAGCATCAGACTCACCAGCATCATCATCAGCATCAGCAACAGCATCATTGTCATCATCGTCAGCATCAGCATAGTCATTACCAGCATCATCATCACCAGCAGCATCATCGTAATCATCACCATCAGCATCACAATCATAAACGGTACCATCATCAGAATCCTCCGCAGCGGCAACATCAGCATCAGCATCAGCAGCATCGTCGTCATAGTCGTCGCCATCGCCACCGTCGTCATCATCATCATCAGCATCATCAGCATCATCATCATCGTCGTCATCAACATCGTCATCAGCAGCAGCATCGGCAGCATCAGCATCATCAGCATCATCATCAGCAGCATCATCGTTGGCATATTCGTCGTCATCGTCACGCCCTCCCTCCTCCGTCCCCTCTCCTCCCTCCTCTCTCCTCCCTCCTCCTCCTCCTCCTCATCATCATCAGCATCAGCATCCTCATCATCATCAGCAGCATCGGCATCAGCAGCATCAGCATCATTATCCTCACTCTCTCCTCCTCCTCCTCCTCCTCCTCCTCCTCCTCCTCCTCCTGCTCCTCCTCCTCCTCCTCCTCTCCTCCTCCTCCTTCTTCTCCCCCTCCTCCTCATCCTCCTCCTCTTCCCCCTCCTCCTCACATTCCTCTTCCTCCTCCTCCTGATCATCCTCCTCCTCCTCCTCATCGTCTTCTCCTCCTCCTCCTCCTCCTCCTCATCATCATCCTCCTCTCCTCATCCGCATCACCACCCTCCTCCTCTTCCGCAGCATCCTCCTCCTCCGCCTCCTCATCCTCCTTCCCCTGCTCATCATCATCATCATCATCATCCGCCTCCTCCTCATCCTCCTCCTCGTCATCATCATCATCAGCAGCAGCATCATCATGAGCGTCATCATCATCATCATCATCATCATCATCATCATCATCATCAGCAGCAGCAGCAGCATCATCATCATCATCCCCCTCTCTCTCCCTCGCTCCCTTCCTCCCTTCCCCCATCCCTCCATCCCTCCCGCCTTCCCTCTCTCGCTCCCTCATGCTCCTCTCTGTCTGGTTTCGCCTTATCCTCCTCCTCATCCTCCTCATGATCGCCATCATCATCAACATCATCATCAGCAGCATCATCCTCAGCCTCATCATCATCCTCATCCTCATCCTCCTTTTCCCCATCCGTCGCCTCGTCCTTCCTCTTCATCCTTCTCTTCATCATCCTCATCATCGTCATCCTCCTCCTCGCCCTTCTCCTCCTGTCCCCCTTCTTGCTCCTTCTCCTCCTCCTCCTCCTCATCGTCCTCCTCCTCCTCCTCCTCCTCGTTCTCCTCCTCCTCCTCCCCCGTCTCCTACTCATCCTCATCCTCCTCGTCCTCCTCCTCCTCCGTCTGCTCCTCCTCGTTCTCGCCCTTCGCCTCCTCCTGCTCGGCCTCCCCCATCCATCTCCCTTACAGCCAAGTCACCCCTGTCGCATCCCGAGACGTGTTTGTAGGGCGGGCTGGGCGTTTCGCCCGACATTTCTTCACCATGGCTGGTCCTAAAGTGGGATGGATGGAAGGCGTGCGAGTTTCGAAGATGTGGCTTTCGCCTCAGCGCCGCGCACATGGGCTCTGAAAGTTCGCAAGTGGGGGGTCCGGCTGGTTTCCAAAACGTGGCGCTCGCCCGAGCGTTGCGCACACTCGCCTGAAGGCCTACAAGAGCTTCACGGATGGAGGGCGGCTCCTGTTCAAAGTGTGGTTCTCCTTTCAGCGCCGCGCACCTTCGTCTGAAAAGTTTGAAGGAGTTTGGTGGGTGGAGGGCGGGCACTTTCAAAATACGTTTCTCGCCTGAGCGCCGCACATATTCGTTTCAAAAGTTCGCAAGGGTTTCACGGATGGAGGCCGGGCGGTGTCCAAAACGTGGTTCTCGAATCAGTGCCACGCACATTCTTTTTCAAATGTTGCAACAGCTTCACTGATGAAAAGTGGCGCTGTTTCAACATGTGGTTCTCGCCCGAGCGTCGTGCGCATTCGTCGTAAGAGGTTACAACAGCTTCTAGAATTAGCATGGTTGACGCCCCTGAAGTTTTCCTTTGGCAAGATGTAGGACTGTCAGGGCGAAACAGTCAAGCTGATTCGATGTGTTGTGTTGAAGTCCCAGGAATGGTGTTCTGGCACGGTTCAGGGTCGTTCGGACACAATAGTAACGTTGGCTTGCGGCGTTCAAGCCCCAGGAATGATGTATTGGCACGGTATAGGATGCTCTGACAGTTGACTTCCAACGGGGCATTTCCAGCAGTGATATAAGATCTTTGCACGGACCTATGAAGAGGGAACTTGAAAGGAGAGTTGATTGCAACATCTTTTATGAGTCTAGGAGGCATCAGCCCTCTTCCGGCTCCTACTACTACTACTACTACTACTACTACTACTACTACTACTAC